TTTATAGTTCACAGGCATGCAGGGCATGTAAATACCCCAGGCGGAATTTCAAGGCTCTCCAAGTGGTTTGTTTCTACCATTTGGAAGATTTTTTTTCTGCTGCTGCTGTACACAGAATGGAAATCTTAGTCCCATACTACACCATTCAGCTTCCTACATATACACCATAGAAAGATACACAAAGGAATGGTATTTTCTTATTATATGGTGTTTGAATTAATACACACACCTGTTGGCAATTTTAAAAATAAATATTGCTATATGTTCTTTCACCATGGCAACATAAACAAAAAGATGGAAGTAAAAATAGTTTTCAAGAACATCTTCCAGAACTATTGAATGTTTTTTATCATTCTGAATTTTGATATACACAGTTACTGGCTTGTCTGTCATCTGTGCCAAGTACATTTACACGTAAAGCAGGCAAGGTTGTTTAATCTTATCTATTTCTAATTAGTGCTGAACTATAAGAACTATGGACTTTTTGGGGACCTCGTGTCTACCAGCATCACAGGTGAAGTTGAAAATTCTCATTTAAACACAGAGGTTAATCTGGAAAAAAGTTAGCACATGTATTTTCATATTAAATAATGGCCCTTTTTTGTACCTGGGAAAATACTAAGGGACTTGTTCCTTTAGTAATGTCCCTATTAACCATTTCTTTATCAGCACAAAGGAGTCCTATGAGTTTGAGTAAGGATTTCTCCTAGCTTCTCTGTATGGCAGTAGGCTATGAGATAGGTGTGTCACCTCAACTGGTGGATCTCGTATCTCCTGAACTGGTTGGATGTCCCTGAAAACCCTGTGCCCTGGATCACCACCATGATCTTCTGTCTGTAATTCTTGGTAACTTTCATCTGTGCCCGTCCTGGAGCGTCCATGCTGCCACCATGCAGAGCTACCCTCCATGGGCAGAAATGCCACTCTTCTGGGAAGGAAGCTGTGTGGGCAGCCACTGGTGTAGCTAGGAAAGAGAGGAGGGACCTTTATCCTTAAAACATGCTGCCATTTACTGTTGGTAGTGGTCAGTGCAACATGAGCCACGAGGGACACTGTGAAATGAAAAAAATGTTGTTTGCATTAAGTAAGAAATCTGTAGAAACTTTTAACTTTGCAGCTCTGGTTTTAAATTAATGCCTCTTTGAGAAGAGCACTGTGTAATTTCTTAAAGTACAGTTTTACCTGCTGAATATTGTTGTAACAATGCTGAATGCCATAACTATCATTGCCACTTAAATGTATTGTGGAAGACATGAACATGCATTTATTTGTATAATGCAGCCTTGGTTGTTATTGTGGCCTTGACCGCATCCTGATTTAAAAGGTCAGTACTTGTCATACCTCTCATTGCAAACAAGGCCAGAGTTCTTATCAATCTGTACTGTGAAGACCAAGCTGTTGCCAGGTTTGTTGAATGGTTTCAGGTTGTTATAATTGTACTTAGCCTTGTGTTGATATCAGTCTTATAATTACTGTTATGTGTATTCCTTATACATGGTTTTGTTGTTGCAGTTGAAAGATGTGAAAATTGTTCAACTCTTTTTTTTTTACTTACCTCCATTTTGTGCTGACATAAATGGGGTATGCATGTACCATAGAATCATAGAATGGTTTGGATTGGAAGGGACCTTAAAGATCATCAAGTTTCAACCCCCCTGCCATGGGCAGGGACACCTCCCACTAGCCCAGGTTGCTCAAAGCCTCATCCAGCCTGGCCTTGAACACCTCCAGGGATGGAGCATCCACAGCTTCTCTGGGCAACCTGTTCCAGTGTCTCACCACCCTCACAGTGAAAAATATCTTCTTGATATCTAATCTAAATCTACTTTCTTTCAGATTAAAGCCATTACCCCTTGTCCTATCACTACATGCCCTCGTAAAAAGTATATAGATGTGTGTTTGTGTATATAATTGATATAGATATAGATATAAAAGTATGCTTTGGGGATTGAGACAAAATTACCAACAAGTTTTTGAAGACTAAGGTTACTTATGATACATATATTCTTGGCTTAGATACTTTAATTGAAAGCATATTGAAAAGATAAATCACTGTATGGATATTTGCATTTTTCTGAACAAGTTAAGGATCCAAAAGGAATATGTTAAGTCTTTATATCATCATATCATATATCAAGGGCATTCACTATGGTATCACCAAGGTTTTTAATGAAAAGATTCAAAAGAAAGGCCTTTTAATTAATAAGATGGTTGAATGTACCTGTATGTGTGTAAATATGTTATGGAATATGTGATTACATACAGAGGGAGTATTTTTATGTCTCATTGCCATATTTTTGGATGCTTGAAATCAGATATCAGATTTGATTATATGAATAGCTTATTGTAGATGTGAACAACATGCAGACAGGACTCTAAATAAGTATCCTTTTCAGATTAGTTAAGTATTGCAAATCCACTTAATTTAACAGGGCATACAGATACTCATACCTTCAGAAAATCAGATAATGGATTTTAGATGTTTGCCTTTAGACCCATCAAATGACAGAAGTCATCGATTAGATAAAATTCTTTGTGAACTGCTGAGAATCCAGACCTGACTCCTCAGATCCACTCATTCTGGGCATGCACTACAGTGAGCAGACAGGCGTGATAGCCTCTGCTTCTATTTAACCATTGGTTCCTGTGTGCATTAAAAAAAAAATCTGAAGCTATGTTTTGATCTTAGTCCATTCATAGTCCATTAGGACTTGCAAAGCCTCTATCTTTCATAAAGGCTTTTGTGATAACTTCAGCTCTGCACATGTGTGTACGTGTACTTGCATTCATGCTTTCTAGATGATGCATTTTAGTGTCTTGCATAAACCTAAATTGAGTAGCAGCTCAATTCTAGCTCCACCTGTTTGATAATTTAACCATTTCCTGCGCTGTAAAATGCTTTAATATGGTATATTTACAGTGAACAGAAAAAAAGTGAAACTGTGCTTTCAAATAAAGAGCAGCAATTCTGATTTTGTGTCTTCTCTGTGATAACTGCTTTTTCACATATGACAGAACTGTAGCTTTTCAACTATATGCAAGCTTTCCAACATTGTTAAAGTGGAACCCATGAAATGAGGAGATTGCCTTTAAAATCTTAGTTTAAATGTTTTTATTCCTTATGGAGAAGTTGAGATGGGAACGTCTAAGTTTCCCTCTGGTTCTCTGTAAGCTGCTTATAACCACACTGGAGAGAATTCACAAATAAATCTTGTGATTTTCAGGTAATCACTCGCTTCCATAAGCTGAGCCCTTCAATAAAATACCAAATGTCAGAAGACTCTCAATAAAGTCAAGAAAGTTAGAAATGTTGACATATGCAATAACTGAAACACTCCACTGTATGTGTTGCCCTTATTTAATATAGTAGGAAATCTCCATGGGGGTTGTTGGTTCGGACATACATATGCACAGCTTATTCATCTCAAAGAACATTTCCCACAAGGCTGACACATGATTCTGTTTTCTCAACTTGTTGCTTCATCATACCATTCCTTAAGCAGTTTCCATCAGAAATACTGTTTTACTGAGGTTTTTACAGAGTAAATATATTCTGAAGTAGACATCAATGTTGCATTAAGGCTTCTCTTAGACAAGGTCTCCGTTACTCATAGTCTACGCTTTCACACTCTGATTCTTTTGCACAATGATCTTCTCGTAATGGGAAAGGCAGTTGTTCACCAAATTGTATCTATCTGTTAAATTCTGAGCTGAGACTGAGGCTCTGTCTGAAGTGTATTGTTATTGAAAATGAAGTTTCTAAAAGTTATACACCTGTTTCAAATTTGTTCTGTTTTTGGCTACCTGCAGATACTTGACTGTGTAGTAAGACAAAGGAGAAGTTTATGTCACAAATGACAACTTTCTAGTTTCTAAAACTTGTCTTCAATGTAAGAAGCTTTGAAAAGCCTTTTATCTTTCAGATATTTGTCAGCCATTATGATATCTTTCTGCTTCAGAAATTATAATGGCAAAAAACAAAAGAGAGATTTGTTTTGAGGGAAGGCACAGATAAAAAGGCAGAAAGCTCTTTAAAAAAAGCAGGTCTGAGACAAGCTGTTTCAGTCCCAGGCTCAGCCAAGTGGCTATGCTCCCTAACCTCCCAGTGATTAGACTTTTGAACAGAACTGATAATTTTGAGGAGGTAAAATGATGTTCCGTTTCTTTGTTAGGGGAATCATTAGTATTAAAACAACATGAAAAGCCCGTAAGTTTCTTTGACTTTTGTGGCATCCCTTTTTGCAACTTGCATTCACAAAATCTGAAGAAAGTAGTAACGTAAAATGAAAAGTTATATCTCTACAAAAGTAAACTTTTTCAAAATCCAGAGATCTTGACCTGTAATGTTCTGTATTCACGAAAAGGCCATCCATTTTCAAGTGTCTTTAGTATTGGCCTCAAAGTTTCAAATTGTCACCTCATTAAGATGTTATCTAAAATACTTTTCAGAGATACAAGATTCCTCATTGCCCACAAGAGACTTGTTAGATTTATCTACTTGATCATATCGAACCAGAAAATGTTTCCCTGTCTCTCAGAAAAGCAAATGGTGAATCTCTCGACCAACAGCAAAACAGGATAGCTCCACTAAGGGAGAGCATCACTTGAGTGTACTGGTGAAGTTCAAAAGAGCTGCGGTGCTCACTCCTCCCTCAGATCCTCAGCAGGGTGTAAAACTTAGCACTACCCTTCCTAGGTTAACTTACAGTTTCTGAAGATCTGTTCCACTGACTTAATTTAGATTTCAGTGTCACTATAAAAGCACAACCATTTCTGTACCAATATTTTTCTGATGTATCTCAGAAATAGTAGGTCAGACAGAGAATCTGGAGCACAGGACACTGGTATGGGTCAGAATTTAACCTATTTATTACTAAAGAGCTGCCTGAACCATATACTGAAGCAAATGCAGCTGTATGTGTACAGTAGGAATTTAAATTATAGCTCTTTTGTGGGTATTTTTCTTCTTTGTTTAAGACATTTTCATTTTCATTTTGTAGCCAAGCACCAAGTCGTACTCACAGAGTGGCAGACACTCAGTATCAGTAGAGGTTCAAATGCAGCGGCAGCGGCAAGAAGAAAGAGAGAGTTTCCAACAAGCTCAGCGACAGTACAGCTCATTACCCAGGTATGGTAACTGTCTGAAGCTACTCAGTGTATGTGAGCCTGGAGCTAATTTCATTTGTGGAAGGAAAATGTTGTACTTAGTGCAGACACTTTTGTTTAGCATTGATATAAGGTGGAATGTATTTAGTGTGGAAACGGCATAAAATTTCTTAAGTGAGAGCATGTGGTAGATGTTTATTTTAGGAGAATTGCTTCAAAGCTGATTTCAGTGGGATTTGATGACATTCAGCATCCAACAGAATTGAGACATTAAAACAAAGCTATTCTTTGTGGGACACCAATTTTCTGCAATTACAATAGCCTCCTGAGCATGACATGGGTTGTCCCCTTTTGACATGTCAGAGTATTTTTTTTTCTGTTGCCTATTTCAGTACTGGATAGAAATATTATCTTTGTGATGCTGATACAGAGAAAAAACTTAAAAGGAAAAAAAAAATATCAGGACCTAAACCAAAAGAATATGGAACTGAGAAACTCTGTCCAAAATATCAGGGGCCTCCAAGTTTCCAGTATATACATTTCTTCTAAGTTGCTGGGTCATTAGCAATGGAATACAAAAAATTAACACACTTTTTGTCTAAACAAATCTTTTATTTTAAAAAATCTTATATTTTTTTTAATTAGCTATTCAAGCAAAATGTCTTTTACCTGGTAGTTAGCTTTTAGAATTAATAGACGTTTGCCCAGCTTGTACTGTAAATTAGATAGTTATCATTACAGATTATGCAAATAGTCTTTGCATTTTTAAATATTGGTGGCAATGGTTGAATGGACAATTCTTTACACCGGAGGTTGGTGTCAATTTCCCTTCATTCTAGCTGTTTCTTCCAATGAGGTTGTATTATTTTTTGTGCCCCATGGGGAAATGGTGTGGAAAATATATTTTTGTGACAACATGTGTTTTGCCAAGTGCATCATAACTATTTTTTTGAAACAAATAGAGGTTTCATACTCAAAGTTATCTGATCATGAACTCTTATCTTACCAACATCTTTGAAAATAAAACAGATCTCTCAGATTTTCACATGCTATAACACATTTTAGTGTAGAATTTTTCTGTTGAGTTTGGAAGGCAGAAAAGGAAAATGTAAAGTTACTGTGTTTTCTTGGATAGTTAGTTTGTAATTTTGAAAATCTTTGTATTCCCTTTGCTTCTTATCTCTACCTTTCTTCTGAAGTGACCACACATCTTAATGCCATATTGTTTTTCCTGAGAAATTGTCTTTCAGTTTTGATAGCCTAAGCAATGCACAGATTGAGTGGAAGAGCATGGATGCTAGTTAAGTTGAGGGCATTATTTTTAGTTTTAAAACTGTGATTCTTGAAACTCACTTCCCCTGTTCTGCGCAATCACTGGTAGAATTTAAAAGTTGGAAGTCAGTTGTAATGCAGTTCCAGTGACAGAAATTAACGCCTGTAAGGAGAAAATTAATCTACAAGAAATCTGGAAAATAATGGTTTGGGGTCATAGAAATGCTTGTTTTGAAAAGAGTGACTGAGAACTTCACTCAATGTGGTTTTCAACATAAGAAATGACAAGCAAGCTAGCAATGCATGTTACTGAGTAGTTAATAACGTAATGACTTTGTTTTAGCACTCTTGAGTATTTGAGCTGTGCTGAGAACAGACAGAATTTCAGGACCTTGGGCTAAAGTTGAGTGCTGTAAATATTACGATACTCATAACTAGCTGGGACATCCAGTTCTACAGCTTTACAAACTGTCATAACTGTGTCTGATCTTTAAAGAAATCTTACTTTTACTCTGAAGCTTAGGTCCCAAGCTTAATGTTGCAGCTATGGCTTTGTAATGATTCAAGTTCTTGAGCTTTGTTGCTTCTCATCTTATATAGTCTCTAGGGGCCTCCTTTTTTTTCGCATTGTACATTTAAATCATTAGTACTGAAGGCAAATAAACTCTTGAGTCAATTTTAAAGGATCTTCCCAGAAAGACAGTGAAAGTGGGCCAACTAATTTTGAAAAAGTACCAGAAAACAGTCAGTAAATTAAATCCGTTCAACTAGTCATCCTCTTGTCCCTTGTGAAACTGTAAAAGCAACGTTTAACTCCAAGCTAATTTTCTAGTACTTAAGATTTATCTTACTCCAGATCAGAAACCTGACAGTTTCGTAGCCTACAGAGGTTCATTCAATTTGTTCTTGTTCCAGGCAGTGATAAAACATGGCTCAGAAACATAATTTCTTTGGCAAAGTTGGATATGTGAATACCAAGAACAGCTATAAAAATTTGCATAAGAATTTACATTATGTTGTAATTTATGCTGTAATATTTTACATTCATCCTGAACAATGATTTTCATCCAGAGGTCTCTAAATCTATTGTGAAATAAGGTGGATATGGTCATTTTCAAGTTACATGTATGAAAGGAAGATTGCAAAAACATTAGGTGACTTGCTACTTTTACTAATGGTAGAAAAATTGTCCAGGTCTCCTCTCTCCTCACTGCATAGTCATTGGATAAGGCCACATTGAATCGTGTGTGTTGACGTGAAAAACCAAGCCATATATAAACAACTAAATGATTTTCTTATTGATTAATGTCGCAATATATTTTGTTTTACTGTTTGATTCTTATATGCTAATTTTAATCTCAAAGTGGGTATCTCTTGCTGCAGCACAAAATTGTTTTACTTTATCATCACCAATCTTATTTTAAATTCAAAAAAGCATCTATCAGCTTGATAGTAAATTAAAGCTATTTCAAAACCATAATCTGTCTTCAAAATAATATCATGACTTATTGTGAAAAGAGATACAAATTTGTAATTCCTATATGTATTTGATTTATTTATCTACCCCATGAAGCCAAAAAATGTGCAAGAAAGGTTATCTCTGCCTCTTCTTTCATGAAATCTATAGCAAACTGGGAAACAGTCCTGATAGCACAAAATTCCTTAGTTCTGGAAATGGGAGGAGGAAACTCATCTGTGCAACTACCTATCACTAATGATCTTTATCTGCTGACTTCTGCAGTGTTAGAGCAAGTGTTTTAAAGATCTGCCTGTTGCCTTTGTAATCAAGTGTGAGTCTAGATTCAAACCTTTCATGAATTATTTTACAAGTGCTAGCTGTTATCTGGTTTCTTAGAAAGCACAGCAATGTGTATGGCCTAGTCTGCAACTAGGAAATTGTAGCATTTTTTTTCTTAAGAACACACTGGTTGGGTGTGCCACTGGATGGGTTTTCATGCCATACTACCCCTGGAAAGGCCTATAAATACAGTTCAACTCTATAGGAAATGTTGTCCCAGCAAAAGAGGCAAGATGCCTCTTTGGGGCAGAAGAGAACATGACTTCTGAAGAATGCTCTAGCTAGGGGAAACCTGGTGGCATTGCAGAAACACCCTTCTTTCCAGGGATCTTAGACAATAACAGTAGAAGAGAAACCAGAACATTTGTCTTAAGAACTTCTTCCATTTTTCTTTCCAGGCAAAGCAGAAAAAATGCCAGTTCTGTATCTCAAGACTCCTGGGAGCAGAGCTATTCCCCTGGTGAAGGGTTCCAGACTGCAAAGGAAAATCCCAGATATTCCAGCTACCAAGGATCGAGGAATGGCTACATGGGGGGACATGGCTTCAATGCCAGGGTAATGCTAGAAACACAAGAACTGCTCCGCCAAGAGCAGAGGCGGAAAGAACAACAACTGAAAAAAAAAACTTCTACTGAAGGGCCTAGCAACTATGACTCATATAAGAAAATTCAGGACCCTAATTATACCCCTCCTAAAGGTCCTTTCAGGCAAGATGTACCGCCTTCACCATCTCAGGTAGCGAGGCTGAACAGATTGCAAACACCAGAAAAGGGAAGACCATTTTATTCTTGAGGTGAAGAAAATGAAGATCAACTTACCATGCAATAAGGAACATTTTCATATAAAGACTTATATTTTGAAAACTTTTTAAACTGATGGTACTAAGGAATATATCCGTTGTCTGTTTCAGTGCCTTTAAAAATATGGGCAAAGCATTGGTGGGCCTTATGTCTTTGCCATTCTGTCTCAAGTGTTGAATCCCTGGAAGGATGTTCCACTGTTTGACAATCATAGCGGAAGTGAGCAATGCTCCCCCTGGGTACCAAGTCCGTGGCCCAGTCCAGTAGCTGTCAATGGCTTGTTACTAGGATTTGTTGTAATGTATTTTACTTTGCAGTGACATATTACATCAACATGCAGCTTTGTGGCACAAAATTAATGAATTTGAGGTTGAAGGAAGCATTGACATGTCCTTTTTTATTTCTCTCAGTTCAGGAGGAGGGTTACATATCACTCTTGAATGGATAAGGCTTAGCTCTACTCTGGATCACAGTCGCAATTCTAGGATGTTTTATGGTGGAGTCATTACCAGTCTTTGTTGATCAATATTTAAGTGTCTATATGCTGAAAACCTATCCTTCTCCTATTATGCACATATGCACTCTTTTTCTCTCTCTTTCCCCACTCTGAGCTTATTAAAAAAGCCGTTATCCTGACTCATGAGGAAAACAATATTAAGCTTTCAGTTATCCTGAGAATCCTGTTACAATTGCCTCATAATCTTAATACACAGTCCATTACAAATTAAATAACTGGAGAAATGGTATTTATACAGTCACAGTCAAGCCCTTGATAAGTGCATTTTACTATTTTATTAAAGATGGGAAATGATGAACAAACATACAACTGAGTTCTGCTTTGCTTTACTTCTAAATGAATTTGGTCATATGGCACATGTCTAGGAAGAGAACTAGGTATCATTGCATGGTCATCTGATCTTTGGGCAAATTTTGGAGATAACAAAGCAAGAGCAGAAGAAATCAAAGTTTTTCCTTCGATCAAAATCTGAAAAGAAAACAATTTATTTTTGCAATTTGTGAAGCTTTGTGGACAATTGCCTTGTGCTTCTGTATACTGTATTGCATTGTGATGCTACTTTAAAAATAAACCTTTAAGTATATGAATGAGAGATAAGTGGAGACAAGCTGTTACACATCATCCTGAAAACATGTCAGTATCCAAAAATAACTGAGCAAAAAAGATTGCTCCAGCAGTGAGTAATATTTGAATGTGCATATGGGATATGAGAATTTCTTTTGCAGCAGCTGTTTTTTATGTTTGTTGGTCTGAACTTTATGTATTGTAAAAAATATAGCTGGGTTGCTGAAGTGCCTGCAAATCCTGATGTGAAAAGGCTTGAAAATGGATCTCAACATATTGTGTACAAAAAGGAAAGAGAGAAAGCAAGAAAGAAAATCATGTATTGCGTGATTTAAAAAAAATAAATATTTTTTTTTACAGGCACATTTTATTTTTGCGCCAATTTGTTTCTAGAATATATGTGAAATATCAGCACACATATCTGTGTCTTTTATGCCTGTTTGTTAATGGTTTTTGTTGTTAATAATGTACTCCATGTTTAAAAGTTGTTACTAGTGTAAGCACAGTGACTTTGGATGACAATAGCTCTTTTACGCAGAATTTACAGAACTGTGTAAAACAGCTTTCCGTGTACATATGAAATTTAGAATAAAAGGCTGTTTCCATTCTTGTCTTGGTATTGCATGTAGACCCTTATGAGAACTGCAGACATTGAGTTTAAAAAATATTTAACAGATGTTGTTTTATCCTATTCCTAATGGTTTTTGTGTGTCTTTCTGTGAGCTCTTATAAACATTGGGGGGGGGAAGATTTACAGTCCAGCTGAACACCTAAAGACTACCCTCAAAGGGGAAAAAGCACTCAGTCTAACGTCTTATGTTATTTTAGGCCATACCTGTGACATTTAAAAGGTTCATTCTTAAGAATAACCTCTGTGGTAAAAATCTTTCGGGCCATAGTGTGGAGTCCTCTCCCCGAGGAGAGTGCCAGCAGGAGCAGGGCGCCCACTGTGCTCTGGCCAGATCCAGGCATGGGTGAGGAAGCCCCCTCTGCCCCGAGTGTGTGTTTTGGGCTCTGATGGGAGCTCTTCATGGGAATGTTGACATGGTGAAAAATAGGAGAAGGCAGATTTATGAGTAAAGCAATATTTACAGTGCCAGTGATACTCTGTTTCCCCCATTAGCACTGGAGCCGTGTCTGGTTTTCTCCCTCTCCCCCTCATTCCTCCTTTTGTTGGATACTGCAGGAACGTCAATCATAATTCCATATATGCATGACATCAGGCTGTTGCTATGGCAATAATAGTGTCAAATTATTCGCTATGACTTTAGTGTGGGATCTCAAGGGGAAGAGTAACAGGGGCTGCAAGGTGGACATGCAGCTTTTGGTGCCTAGATGAACTAAAGGCATGATTCTACAAAAGACCTAAATTGTAGTGGCTTGCAGTTGTGAGTGGGGAAATAATTGCATTTGCAGTTTTGCAGGCCTTGCTGTCTCATCTCCTGACTGCCTTCCCAGATCACATAGTTTGATGTTTCTATGGAATTATTTGGACAGGCAAATAATTGCAAGCACTAAAAAATGCATCCACAGGAATGGAAAACCGGTTGAAGTCCTTTTCAAAATAAGGTCTTTGATAAACTGTTGTAGGAAAAAGGGCATATGTTTGGAAAAGTATGAAGTACAGGATGTTTTATGTGTGAGGATGGCATATGTTAAAGTTTATCCTTCTATGAAACTCCTCTTCAAGGTGTTAACAATTTGCCATAATTAGATGTGTTCATGAAAGAAGGCAGATGTTCTCTTTGGGTCATGTCTGTGTTATGTTAGTAAAGAATAAGGTCTTTTTCTGGCTTCGTCATCCTGTCTTCTTCCTGACATAGCGTAGACAGGATTTCTAATATTAACTCCCAGAAGTTGCAAAGGGCGATAAGGAAGTGGGAGGGAGATATTTTAATAGAAAATGACCTTTAGTTCTGCATAGTGAATAGATTCAAAAGTTAATTGAGCTAACTACATTACTGCAGTAATTTGTTTGTGGACGCATTACCATTATGAGATTAACTCTAACATTAGTGTATTGAAGAATGGTCACAGGACAGACTGTAAGGAAGCTTACAACATCAAGGAGTGGGAGTAAAGCTTACATATTTTTCTCTGTTGAAACCCTAAAAAAAAAACATCTGCAAAGCCGGCTTTTTTTTTTAATCAAAATAATTTGCTAATGCTATTGAAATTCCATGCTAAATTTTAATATTACTAATGCAGAAGACTGCTGCCTTTCTAAAAAAATCTACTCCCCTCTTCTTATAGGGCCTCCTTGGAAACAAGAGTGCAGCCCTTGTGAGTTTCTGCATGGGCCAGATATTTTAATATATGTCTTTGAGAACTCTGCCATCAAAAACAGCAAAAAAATGGCGAAGAGCCCAGCTGAACATGGTTGGAAAGTACAATTGCCATTTATTGCTGGCAAACAGCAGGAAGAACAACAAAACAAAATTTAAACCCATCATGACTAGAGATATATGGCCTGCCTTTCAAAGCTGTGCTGATGTTTTGCTCACGTTCACTCTGTTTATGAGTGTCTGTAACATTGCATTTATCTGTGCTGGATATGTTGAGAAGGGAAGAAACCTTGGCCAGACAAGGAAGGGATGCGCCAGATTAGCAGTGTTGGCTAAACACAGGATATTCTTGAGTAATTCAAACCTTTGAACTTGCGTTGTTGAGACTTAAAGTGAATTTGGCTATTGCGTGTCCTGGCTTGCAAGTCTATTTTCAAAATATTTCCTAATTCTATTTGCTGTGCCTGACTGTTTCTACATCTTTCTCTCCCGCGTCCTCAGTCTAGTTCACAGGAGTTGTGAGGAATCTGTCAGGAATGCAAACGCAGAAAAAAACTCATCTATTTTTTATGCTGCTGTTGTGCCACCACACCCTGGCCTTCCGGACTCAGTTCAGCCTTAAGTTGGCAGAGGAAGAGCAAGGGTCAAAAATCCAGGATGGAGGACTGGCTTCATGCAAGTAGTTTGTATGTGTGCGTACGTACATGTGAGAGAGAGAGAGAGAGGCACAGACTGGATTAATTTGCCTTTAATTCATGTCCAGCTTGAAACCCTCTTCAAAATATCTTGTAGCATTTCTTCCAAGTTTTTTCCATCTGTGCAGAAACCAGCTGATTATTTGATGCACATGGTTATTGTTTCATGCCCTCTTGTGTATCTCTTCTGTTTTGTATATCTTTTCTATTTTGTATCAGCATCACACTTGCTCTTTCACATCTGCTGATTAATTCTGTTGCATTTATTTGTTTCTCTAAATGACATGCGATTCATTCTTATCCTAGGCTGTTTCTTGCCAGTGATTGATATTTCTCTCTTAGCTTTGGAAACTTATTTTAATATTTTTCTGTCCATGGGAGTAGTGTTAACTTTTATAATTTACACTTTAATCACATTTTAAAAATTGAGACTGGAAGCTTGAGGTGGGATTACACAAAAGCAGACTAAAGAATATGGCTTTGATATCTCTTCTGTGTGCAGTGCTCACTTCCCAGGCATTTGCAGGGACTGTGCAGAGTGCTGCCTGAATGAGATGAAGAAAAACATCATGCCCAGGAGCTTTGGAGAAAAAAAAAAGTTAAGGAAAGTTTTGAAAATATTTATGCCCACTGCATGCTATCTTCTGTGAAGAAAATAATTCCTTAGAAGTATCGCACTCTGTCTGAATGGCTGATGGTTTCAGAGCTCCGACAGACATGGCTGTGGTTTAAAGATGGCTGGATGGAAGAGAAAGCTGCTTGCGCCCTTCCAAAGGATGCCAGGACCCCTCCCTTGGAAATTGGCTCCTGAAATACTGTTTTCAGCTGCACATCTTAGAGCAATCAAGGTCTGAAATAGGCTTACATTCACACAGCGAGCTGAAAAACACAGTGACATCTGTCAGAGAGGGAGGGATGACAGCCAGGAGCGCAGAACAGCTATCACCTTCATGTTTAGCAAGCTAGAGAAGACTTTGGTTTCGCTGCTCCACTGATATAATTCTTATTACCCCTTAGAACTTGCTGGAGTCTGAGACCCACTTCTGGGTACCCATCACATTTTGTGTCTTCCTCAGGGGCAAGCACAAAGCTTTGTAGTACTTCAGCTGCAGCCAGGCTATTGTAAGCCAGTAG